GAGAAGAAGATGAGATTGTGGCTTTAAGTGAAGAATGTAATATTTTGTTTCAGAGACAGAGAAAGATGTCTGGGCAAAATTTGGCTGAAGAACGCCGTTTGGGTTAGTGTTGATGGCAAACTTTATAAAAACACTATGTTAAATGTTATGTTAAATTGATGCTCGAGTTGTGTCGTGCATCAAGAGGGAGATGGTATAACAATTGCCAAATATGGTTTATTAAGGGGTTCACAGTTGCTGAATAAATGTTGGGAGAACACTAGGGGTAATTTGATAAAAGCCCTGAAAGAAGCCATTTTTCTGCCTAACAAAATTGATGTCTGTGAGTGTGCACACACCAATAACAAAGATTGTTTCAACAGGAAACGCCAGGGCATCGAAGGACACGGGAGAACAGTAGACAAAAGAAACTGCGTACTTTACTATCTGACAATAACCTCGAAATTTGTTTCTTTTACAGAGAGCATGCAGGATTGGGAGACAGGGCAAAATGTGCCAATAAAATAATGGTTATGGATGAATTTGGCTAACTGTCCTGGCCTGGGTTATTATTGTGGCAGAAAGGTGCTACACCTGCGCAGCGCATAACTTAAAATTTTCCTTTTACATAATGTCAGGATGGATTGGATCAAACAGAACTAATTCTGTTCCAAATGTATGAATATTGACTTGTTAACCTAAGCAAAGTAAATATTGTGTTTTTCAGGGTTAAAGGACCCCGAGTGCTATTAAGTGAGCAAGAAATTATCCGGAGATAATGTTTCAGGTTGTTGATTCCACAGGTCACACCAAAGGGGACGAGCGGCTGTCAAGCGGTCACTAACAAAATACTTAAGGTCTCCATTCACAGGTGACAGTTCACTCCAGTGGGGGTGCGGTCGTGATATAAGGGAAAACCTTATAAGGATCAGAAAATGGTTGGAGAGTGTGACACCTGGGTCCAAGCCTCTCACCTTAGACAACACCGACAGGCCACAACCATCCCATAGTCCGTGGGGCGAACGAGATGATCAACACAACTGATGGTTTAAGTTTAACAGAAGAATCTGTTTTTGTGATGATTTGGTTTGATTGAATCAAACTAGGTATTGATTTGATTGTAAATGTAGAAAATATATTGATTGTGTCCGTAATGGAAATATTAGAGTTAATATTGAACAACTGCATTGGTTAGAAGAATGGATAAAATTATAAGACTTCTCTGGTTAGATTTTGTTAAATATGGCATTAAATAGAGCTTACTAAATTGGATTAGAAGTGAACAATATGGTTAGGAAAACCGAGGTGAAATATGGAGATGGGCGTAGATTAATGGAAAAGGCTTAATGATAGGAGTTGGGATTGTTATTCTAATAATTTTGTTATTCATGGGTGAATATGATTACAGTGACAGGTGAAACATGCTGTCTGTTCAATTGGTGAAAATGACAGTCTATCCCAAGGATGAACAAAATTATGTGACGATACATGTAGCGGGAGCTACAGTGAGATATGTGTTAAATGTATGTTCTGTTTGTTTTTCTTCTATTTGTTTATTTTCTGAGAAAGATTAAGGGCAAAAGATTTAAAGAAGGTTACAAGCAGCGGTCATCCGTGTTACGAGATGGCGTACAAAGATAGGGTTTGAAACTGAGTGATTTTTATTATACTTTTATCTGTTTGTTTCCTTACTATGTTATAACTACCTTTTTCCTTACTGGCGTGACTGAGGGTCTGTTTACAGGAGCGCAGGAACAGAGATTTCTCGCTTAGCCCGGCGTCGTAAAAATGTTTACTTGCTAGCTAAAATATTACGGGGCCTTTCCCCAACAAAAACAGCCTTATGCTTCTTCATTCTAAACTTTTCTTCACAGGTTCAAGGAGAGTGATCATTTATGCAAAAATCAGAGATAAAGAGTATAAGTGTGATGATATGACTTAAAATTTGTTTTATTGTTTATTATTGTGATTATGGGTAATCAGAATGATAAAAAGTGAGGAGTTGTAGTGGCAATTTTAATGATATTCATTAAAATCTTTAGTAAAATATAGATGATTCAAAGAATGTCACATGTGTGTCTCACTTGTAGTGAGAGAAGATTCTGTTTATGTACCTGGGGAAGCAGAAGAGGGAGACACTCCAGAGAACAGACGAACAAGGACCTCTGACCTAGATGTCAGAAGGCCATTTTGGGTGCAGGGGGGCTTATTGGGCCAACTAGTGACGTCTATGGAAAACTACTGGGAGGAAGGCTCTGGGGGGAAGAAGGCCTTGAAACTAAGATAAAAGCTAGTTCAGTCTGTCTGGGGGTGTGTCACTCTTCTGCACAGGGTAACAACTGTGTATTAGACTGCTCCTATTCTTGCAAGAATAAATACTTCTATTTTATATAATTTGACTATGAGTGTCTCTTACGCAGTGATGTTTGTTTGAGATGAATTTTTGCCACAACACTCCACCTGCCCTTACGAGACGCTCCATCACTCCACCTGCCCTTACGAGACGCTAAAGATTTGTTTCATGTGTTGTTGAATTGTATATGCATTTGTGTATTGTGTGATGGTTACTTTTATTTGTTCTTTTACTCATTTATTCATGTCTCTTATTGTTGTCAGTATATAAAATATAATTATTTACATGCATTAATTAATTGCTTGACTGACAATTGAGATGTTCACGTGTATTCATGCATAACTCATATGACAAAACAAATTACATTTTGCTTGTTTTATTAAATTATATCATTTTTAGTATATAAAAAAAGTTATAAGGTATTGGTCAGCATTTAATTTTATTTTGTTTAAGTTTTGGGGTGGGCTAACAATGCAATTCATTCTGAGGTAATATTAATTGTTAAGGAGTGATACTTACATTTTTCGAGTATAAAATCAATCTTCGAGCAGCGGCCCGTCTCCTTTGTGCAGACATTACAAACGCAGAGGAAAACTGTTCTAGGTTGTGCTGTCGAGTTTATGAAGTGTTAGCACACCTGTCGCTCATATAATTTAAACTTATACACTTATTACATAAAGATCATGGAAAGATACCATAGTTGTATCTAACAATGAACAATCATAATGACAAAACAGAAAACATAAAGATCATTGGTTTGTGTACATCATAATATGATATATATACACAGGAAAAAAGAACAATAACAAGGCTAAATATCTTTAAATAGTTCTTCATAATACATTAAAAATTGTTTTGTTGTTATAAGTCTGAGGGATGAAACGAGAGGTAAATTCATCAAGAAAAGAGGAAAACTTAAAGGAGAAACTTTTTGGGTATAAAATAAAGAAATTAACAACATATTCAAGCGATGACGATTTGGGGGTTTCTTAAAAAAAATATCGTTATAAGGATAAAACTGGGGGACACATTAGTAGGGTTTAAAATATAACAACTTAAATCAACCCTAAATGTATTCACAAAATAAATTGGCAGCTGTTTCTTCAACAATACCACAAAATGAGCAAGTTTCATCGATATCAAGATATCTACAGATAGATGAATTAAACGTGTCGTTCCTCTTTTAAGTCGTAGGTCACATGATAACGTCAACATGGCGGATGATGTCCGGATCGCATTCATACTCAACGAGATTTGGCTATAAATTACCTACTATTTTAGAGCTCGTTAAGTAAGTGCTCATTGAAATTAAGTACCTACTCATTGAGTATGTGGTTTGGAACGCAGCCCAAGTCTAAAATATCTGGTTTTAATACATTTTGAGAGAATATTTGGGAGGTGATTGCAAAAAAGTCTATGTGGTGTAACCGTCAAAACTTTGTACCAAATAATTTATCTTGTTTAATAAAGGTGAAATTCTCAATAAAACACCATATCAGCTAGTTTGGCATAATTTTACTTTATAGCTATTTATCAGTAAATGGAACACCATTGTTGTGGATATTATAATTAATTTGGAGAATCATGTGAGTCAAGTAAAATTCCTGAAGTGTCAAGGTGGTGTAACCACAATTCAATGTGTCATTTAGGTAATATAGAGTGCCGAAGTTACGACGTCACTCTGTAGGCCAAAACGCGGAAGTGAGTTAGCATTTAGGCACTCTCGGTTCCCTCGCTCTGAAGTCTATGGGATTTTTGAATGGGTTTTTGCTAAATCGCCTGAAATAAGGTCTGTGGTGAACAAAGCCTCTAAATATTTTCACGTTTTGATCCAGAGCATGTGAGCGGAGTGGAGCGGGAGCGTCCATGCTTGATTTCCAGTCACAATTTCTTCAAGCAATGGCATTTGACTCTAGAAGCAACATGGTCAGTTGGTCTAACTGGTATTTGAAACAAGTTTTTACAAGATTTTCGAATTTCTCATCTTGACAAGCCTTGTTTGTCACTGACCCAAATATTAATGAAGTGTGACAGGAAACGTAAGAGTTATTTTTGTAAGATTTTATGATCATTGTCAGTTTCTGTATATACAAATATGTTACATGTTAATGGTTGAATTACTTTATTGCAATTTATAGTTATTATAAAGTCAAAATATATTTAGATTTACATATTATGGTGTTTTAGACTAGTTATTTGACTGTAGAGGTTCGTAAAGAGGTTATTTATTTAAATATTTTGTTATATAATTGATGATTCATCCATGTTATATTGTGAAAAATAACAGTATTGTCCTTCATTTTTACAGACTTTTATCATCTATCTATCTACAAATAATGTGTTTTTAACAGCAAACACTCAGAATAAAGAGAGATGATCTGCTGATGATCCTGAATGGCTTGTTGAATGAGTGTTGATAGTCTGAGGATCATCAATATTAACAGATCTGCTGAAAACACTCTTTATTTCAGTAGTTCCCGTTTTCACCTCATTTATTATGCTGATGTCTTCACATCTCCTGTAAATGTACTATTTCATTGGTGTAAACAGGCTGAGAGTATTTGTTGGTTACTATATGTAGCCTATGTTTATTTCTTATGCTTTTTAACTGCTTTCCTTACCATTTATTATATTAGGTATAATTTACAATACTTTTATATGTTGTCCATGAGCTTAAAAAACAAACTCAGTAACTTATTTGATGTTTTGGCAGATCACATCTTCATTGAAGCTCCACCCACTGTGATTCATCATCATTGAAGCTCCTCCCACTGTGATTCATCATCATTGAAGCTCCTCCCATTGTAATTCATCATCAGTGAAACTCCTCCCACTGCCATTCTCCAAAAAAAGCTGTAAATTCCCATCAGCTACAAGTGAAGACGAGCATGAAAGCATCAGGAAGAGCTGAAATCTGCCAAGACTGAGTTTATTAAAGAGGACAGTGAGAACACGAGTGATCCAGAACCCTGCAGAATGAAACACACTGAAGATCCTGAAGAACAAAGAGGTTGGTGTTTATTCTTCATCAAGGGTGCTCCGATTGATCGGTCGCCGATCACAATCGGCCGATAATTGCTTTGGGATGTGTGATCGGCGGTCTCTATAAAGGCCGATCCAGAAAAGCCGATCAGAGGACGGGAAACTCATGTTCCGATACCCTTTTTCCCTTCCCGATACCGATTCCGATACCTGGACTCAGGGTATCGGCCGATACCGAGTACTGATCCGATACCTGGGTGTGTACAGTATCTATACAGCTGCAATTCATACTAGCACTGTATGAACTGATAGAATTATTTTATTGCGTGTTTCAGACTTATCCCTTAATTAAACATGAACAAATACATACAGTGAACTAGAGTATTTTTATTATCTGACATACATTTCACAGCAATATATTATTTATCTTTCTTAAGTGAAAAAGAACTTAAAATGCAACCACACATCTAATACTATAAACTGAAAAAGGTATTTTAGTTTTACTATATAACTGCATAAAAAAAGTGCAACAAATAAATCTAGGATTCTAAAAAATGATATATGAATAATATAAGAAAATAATCTCTTTATAATTTAAAGTCCATAAACAATTTTGTTAAATAAACGGCATTTCAGTTTTGACATCGTCTGGTCATCCAGAACAATAAACTCAATACATGTTGTCGGTTATATTTATCGCTCGTTGGCTGTCTTTTGAAAACTTTTCTCTTCGTTTCAATGAAGCTTTCAGAGATTGTTGATTCTGGTGCGGCTCATTCTTCTCTGCCCTTGCCTTTGTGTAATCGTGTTCTGCGGGGTGAAGCGTCTTCAAATGCTTTAAGTTACTCGTGTTGAAGTTGCTAATACTTGTTCCACCCCTCGAAATTGCAGTATGGCATACGAGACATGTCGCCGTTTTCCTGGCTGGTTGGTCCAGTCTGAAATACTGCTAAACAGCGGACATACTGCTATCGTGCGCGCGTGTTTTCTTCTTCGCTGCTCTAAACAGTGGTTGCTTGTGGCAACAGCACAACTTCCTGTGTCGCCACAAGCAACCACTGTTTAGAGCAGCGAAGAAGAATTGATCTCTGATTTGCTGCGTTATGCAAAGCTAGCGTGCATAACTAGATATTGTTTAAGAAAATGGTATCGGATCGGTACATGGGTAGAAGTACTCTCCGATACCGATGCCAGCATTTTTATTGGTATCGGCGGCATTTCCGATACTAGTATCGGAATCGGAACAACTCTATTAATTTTATAGTAGACTATAAAATAATTTGGCCCCGGGGGGAGCATGCCCCCGGACCCCCCTAGAGGGGTAATATCCTTCTCACCTTTTTCACCCCTGACCCGTTTTCATTAGGGATGCACGATATAGGATTTTGGCTGATATTCGATATTCCGATATTTTCAAACTTATTTTGCCCGATGCTGATACCGATACCGATATATATATATATATTTTTTTAAGTGCAAAAAAAGCGTATTAAGCTTCTATTAAAGTTCTCAGTCAAGAGCAGTGAGTGATTTCCTCTTTGTTTTGTTGTTTTATTAACATTAACGGGATAGTTCTCCCAAAAATTTAAATTGTCATCATTTACTCTCGCAAGTTTCTTTCTTCTGTTGAAATTATAAAAGTTATTTGGAAGAATGTGTCTAACCAAACAGTTGCTGTACTCCAGTGACTTCCATAGTATATTTAAGCACAAGAAAGAAATGAATACAGGTTTGGAACAACATTAGAGTGAGTAAATAATGACAGAATTTTTATTTCTGGGTGCAGTATCTCTTTAAGGACAAGCGGCAGCATATTATTACTGTCTCTTTAAGAACTGCACGCGAGTAACGCGACGCGTCTAATATACACGCATTTGACAAGCAGATTTTCTCTGTTTGCTTTCACTTTAGACATAACCAACTTTGTTTATGTAAACCGTGTGTGTATTTGACAGTATCAGCGCAATAAGACTCGAAAGATTAGTCCAGTATGCAGGCTCTGTGACAGGCTTTAGTTCCTGTGAGCGTCGGGTGTAACGCGCTCAGAAAAGCGGATGTTAGAACAGCGCATCAGCACGTGAATGACATGTTTACCTAGCAAGACTTTGACGCACATGCAAACAATGAACTTTTGTGAATTGCGGTGTCCCGTGAGTGTAACTCTACCTCTGCGTTTACATGTGATGTGAATGTACGTCGCGTTGTACAGTATGTTGAGATGAAGGCGCCAGAACTGAACTGATAGAATGCACAATACTATGATGTATCTTCAAAAGCAGATCGTGGAGACATTTTAATCGTCCACGATCAAAAACCGTGAGACACACACCCCTAGTTGGTCGTTTAAGTTGCTGGCTCTCATGCTTCGTTCGCGGTCGTCACGTGCGCATAGGAAACACGCCACCCTATCGGCAAGGCTCATCAGCAGAAATATTCATATCGGCCGATGCCGATGATGGTCATTTTAAGCTTTTATCGGCCGATATCATCGTGCATCCCTAGTTTTCATGTCTGATAATGCAACAGGTGTAAATTCATGAAACATTCTCTTCTCTTAAATGTAATACTTAATGTACATTGTTGTTAAATATAGTTTAATAATAATGCTACATGATAAATAGAAGGCTTCAAATAGACTCTGTAATCGGTGATCGGTATCGGGTGATACAGCTTCCAGTAATCGGTGATCGGCCCCAAAAATCCTGATCGGAGCACCCCTATTCTTCATTCATTCATGATGCTGGAGAACATTCATGTTAGAAACATTCAAGCACTTCATCACTTTTAGATAAACCGGTAAACTGTGAAATGGCAGCAAAAGTTTCTTTTTTTTTTTTTTTTTTACAAAAAATGGTCAGTAGAGTGAAGTTTCATATTAATTGTCAACATCAGGTCAAACAAAATGTATATATTTTAACTGTTTTATTTTATATATGGTTTACAATGTGTAAGAATGTTACCTGAATTTTGTGCGTATTTTAACTAAATAGTTTCTTGCACTGAAATTCATCTTGTGTTTCTTGAACGGTCCTTAATAATTCAAACGTTTTAGTAGTTTGTAATGCAATTAAATTTCAATGTTGGTGTCATATACTATGGCAGTATTTTAATGTTCATATCACATTAGATAATTGTGTGATTGATCCAACATATTTAATAGTTCTCACTAAAGAAACATGGCATTTGTGCCTGTAGTGTTTTATAACTGGAAGATCTCTGTGCCTAGTTTATGGTAAGTTTCAGGGACGTATAATTAAAGGGTTGGTTAACCCAAAAATGAAAACTCTGTCAGTAATTACTCACCCTCATGTTGTTCCAACCCCGTAAGACTTTGGTTCATCTTCGGAACACAAATTAAGATATTTGTGATTAATCTGATCACTCCTCCATAGGCTTTTAAGGGATTGAAACTTGCCAGCCCTCAAAAGTTATAAAAGACATCATTAAAATTGTCCAAGTGACTACAGTGGCTCAAATTTTAAGTTTATCAAGTGACGAGAATACTTTGTGTAACCGCTCAGTCTAATACTGACGGCTACTGAGGTGGTTTAGCCCAGGAGTGCCCTGGCTGACGCGCTGTACCATTGTTATTCTATTACCCTACTGTATCGTTCTTAAGAGTCTCCAGACGTTGTTGTGTTGCTGATTATTCAGTTTATTTGTTTGACCGTGCAGAGGTAAAAGTCCATTTATCCAGTTTCAACGGTAAACCATATCCATAATACATACAATAGACTGTCAACAATACGTTTTCAGCACCAATGCGCCATAGCGGTCAAAAACCCTTTGCCCTTCCGGGACAAAACCCCTCCCTGTTGGCAGTTTGGATCCTTCCTTTATACCTTTGACCCCAGGTGATATTAGAGTGACACCCACTGTACAAACAAGGAACAACACCCAATATCAAAATGCACAAACACCACATTTGGCTCCTACCCACCGGCACCTAATTGTTAATGACCAGCAGCCATTACAATTCAAACAAACTGAAAGAGCCAAAATGTTACAATTCATCAAAATACAGTCAAGCCCAGCATTAACAAACATATTTATACTCCATGCACCAAACAGAGCTTTGTCACTGGCCTTTCCATGATGTTAGTTTTAGTCTGTAATCTTACAGACCGCACAAACTCATGTTTGTCTGGAAAAACCTCCAGAACCTTGCCGAGTGGCCAAGAGCCACGAGGAGCTGAAGAATCCATTATTACCACAATGTCTCCAGCAATCAAACTCCTCTTCCTCTGATTCCACTTTTGCCTCTCTTGAAGCAAGGGCAAGTACTCTCGCATCCATCTCCTCCAAAAAAGATCCGAGAGGTACTGTACCTGTCTCCAACGTCTTCTCCCATATTGATCGTGAGAATTGAACACTCCAGGTGGCAAAGCTGGTTTACCCTTCAGAAGAAGAAGATGGTTAGGAGTAAGAGGTTCCAAGTTGCTGGGATCATCTGAGAGCTTAATAATAGGCAGATCATTCAAAATGGCCTCTACTTCACAGAACACCGTATGAAGTCCATCATCATCCAATGTCTGCTGACGTAGGACAGAAGTCAGAACCCTTCGCACAAGGCGGATCATCCGTTCCCACACACCACCATGGCTGGTGGGTTAAAACTCCAACGGATTCCAACCTGCGACATGGCTCCTTGAATTATATCCTGGTTCAAAGCAACAAGAGCCTTCTTGAGTTCCCTTTCCGCCCCAATGAAGTTGGTATCGTTGTCTGACCTCAGATGTCCCACTTGTCCTCTCCTGCTGATAAAACGCCGCAAAGCATTGATGCATGCATCCGTTTCCAGGGATACTGCCACTTCCAGATGGATGGCACTGCTTGCCATACAGGTAAATATAACTCCGTATCGCTTACAGGTTGATCGTCCCCTCCTTACTTCAACTGGTCCAAAGTAATCTACTCCCGTGTTCGTAAATGGTGGTAGATCCGGAAGGATTCTCACCTTTGGGAGGTCTGCCATTTTTTGTTCCACTGCTCTTCCGTTGTACCGTCTACAAAAGCTGCATTCAGCAA